AACACAACACAGTGCAACACAACACAGCGTAACACAACACAGTGCAACACAACACAGCGTAACACAACACAGTGCAAACCAACACAACACAGCGCAACACGACACAGCGCAACACAACACAGCGCAACACAACACAGTGCAACACAACACAGTGCAACACAACACAGCGCAACACAACACAGTGCAGCACAACACAGTGCAACACAACACAGCGCAACATAACACAGCGCAACACAACACAGTGCAACACAACACAGCGCAACTTTGAAAGTTCTGTATCATATGAACTTCCTGTTCAGTACCCACTTTTCACAGTCCTTAACATAGCTGAGTTCTAAAACGCGTTCTTATTGCTTAGAGTTAGAGTACTGTATCTTAAATGCGTATGTTATTTATTTATTTGATTTTTTCCCGTGCGCTATCTCTGAACTTGGACTTGCATCACAGGTAGCCCAAGCTATGTTCTTTGTGATTTATTTCATCGCTGGGGAAGGTTTGAAGTCTCTCACACCTTCAAACCTTTGGGGCTTTTCTTTGTTCTCTCGGCATAATTAGATCAGTATATTTAAAATGGAAAACTGTCTTTAAATATTCAATATGAATACCTTAGACATGCGAACATCGTTGGAGAAGGTTTTTGAAGTCTCTTGTCAAGCGAGCCTCTTGAATTTYACCTCATATCTCACACCTTCAATACCTCGTCGTTTCCCACGGCTTCTTTCGTTTTCTTTTAGAGCATCTAAAACGGAAAACTGTTTTGTATTTCTTTTATAAAATATTTGTAAAATAACGCGCGCGATGATTGGCTGTGTTTATATCAGAGGACAGAGACACGCTCGCTCAAAATCGTTCAAAAATATTTTATAAAAGCAATATAAAACCGCTGCTTATTCCTCTGTACTGTCATATAAGCACTTTGGTAGCTTTAGATCACGAGAGAAGCAAGAGAAACACTTGGCTATGCCTCGTGTTCCTAAGCTTGCTTCTGCTTCGTGCTCTACAGCTACCACCGTGTTTATATCACAGTACAGAGACACGCGCGCGCGTTTTATATTCCTCAAATGCGAATAGCTTTATCATCTAAACATCCGTTCCCTAACTCGTTTTGAACCCTTTTTTTCTAATTTTCATTTCACAGGGCGCGGATATCAACACACGTGACTACTGTGGATGGCAACCACTACACGAAGCTTGTAACCATGGATACACAGGTACACTGATTTCAGCTATTTTTTAACAGCTTTATTGGCCTTCAAAATTCAAAACTACRAAAATAATTGATAAGAAACTAAAGGGGAAAAAAAGGAGAAAAGAAGGACCAAGAGGGTGGGCGCGAACGGTACCTAGGGTCCCATGCGAGGCACCTCCTCTCTAAAACGATAAAGAAAAAGAAATGAAACAGTAATGATAAAAGGGTAAATTATACACCGTGAAAAGATGAAAAAAACTTACTGACGTTTCGGACGCTAGTCAATTAGTAATTAAGTGATCCTTGTATACATTAGTAACTAAATCCTTGAAAGACTTTAAACTAAGGAAATTACTAGGTATAGCTAATTTTGCATATGAGGTTCCAGAGTGTAGCACCACGATTGAAAAAAGAGGACTGAAAAATAGTGGATTCACGAAAAGGTGTTTTTAAGTACTTAATTTCACTAGACTGAGATCGTCGTGTGCGTCCATGACTTACATATTATAAGAAACTAGTAATAGTGTAAACTAGTATTTTTAGATTAGTGAGTAATCTGTGTCAGAGTATCAGGCGCTTTCCTGACTCCGTCATTCTGTGTTTGATTATCTTGCGAAACTGTTCTTCAAGTTATCTGGTTTTCCTCCCTCCGTAAAAATCAACATGTGAGTTGAGTTTGTTTGATGTGTTGTTCTCTCCCTTGCCACATCTTTATCATAATCGTAATGTTGTTTCTGCTGTCGAACAGAGACACATCAGCGTAAGCAAGGTTTTTTTCAATATATCTTTTTAGCATTTTTACACAAGTGAATATAATAAATCCAGCGCGCTCATAAGTCACAATCTACGCGCGAAAATAAGACGTGAAGATTTTCACGTAAAAATATTGAAGATATGATTTTCTTAAACGTAAAATTTGACAAAGAAATGTAAGTGATGTGAAGTGTGATCGTCCGGGTGAGCATAGTCTTGAGAAAGACTGTTGTTGGTGGTGACTGACAGTTTGTTGTGAAGTGTAATGGTCCAGGTGAGTGTAGTATTGAGAAAGACTGTTATTGCTGGTGACTGACGTTTTGACAACCTGATTGGAAATCATCTCCAGAATCCTCGTCCAGTGAAAAACCTCGATATAGAACACACATTAGAACTTCCAAGTACGCCAAGGTCGCGCGCAAAGATTCATTCCTTTGTTTTGAACAACGTAATTCGAAGAGAATCCTTTTCTAAAGTATTCTTGGTGAATTTTTCCTGTGATATATCAACTGTCTTTATTATGTCTCCACAAACATCAGATCGTACAGGCGCGCCTATATATCGTTATAATCGTTTCTTAAAAATAAATTGTATTTGAACAGTCTTTTATACCACTCGCTATATATGTAGATCTTTCATAACTACGCATGCTCTAGATTCAAACATTTTTAGTTTTGATGCACTGCTTTCCAATCTTTAAGGTGACTGCTTACTTTGAACGTTCGGTTTGAGCCCACGATGAGCGCGCGCTCAAAAACCGCTGAATAATCTACAAGATTTTATTGAAGAACCATACACGTTTTGAACTTCCAAGAGGGCAAAACCCTCAAATTCCAAATCATCTGAAGTGAGCATCATCCAACTTGGCTGCTACTTTGTTCCCTTAGGAATGACCGCTTTTCTTCGCACAAAAATCGCTTTATATATTGTAAATTTCAATTGAACTCATGGGTAGAAAAGGCACTCGAACCACTGTTAAATTCATCATCTTCGTTCGTCATCATCATCATCATTACCATCATCATCATCAGTATCAACACAACCAACGCCACCCCATCACTAATATCATCAACATCATCATCGTCATCATCAACATCACCACCACCACAACCACTACCATCACTAATATTATCATTATCACCATCACCATCATCATCACCA